GAAAAAGAGAGTGGAAGAGAACAAGAGAGATGCCTTTCAAGTCAGCCCACACAAACTGCACTTTTGATACAAGTAGGAGTGGTCAGGCTCAGCTGATCCCAGCCTTTTTCTGTATGTGTTGCCTTTGCGATGGCTGCAAAACCCTTTGCTGCTCTCTCAGCTGAAGCTTAGCTGGAGGTTCTGTTCAGAAAGTCCACGTTATTTCTTCCTTCGGTGGTGCTTTGAGATGTCTGTGTGTGTGCATTTGGGGTGGGGTGTGGTCCATGAGCTGGGATTCTTTTGAAGATTAGTGCAGGTTTATTTTTGTTGGGGGAATGCAGCACTTCGCAATGCCACCTACAGATGAGAAGCGGAAGTGCAGGTCACTCAAGGGAAATGCTGAGTTGACAGAGTTCGTTCTTGGAGAGGAAGGCGCACCTGATTAAACTGGTTCGGATTTGCAGCCGTGTAATTTTACCTTTTATCGCCTCGAATGAAAAACAAATCTGTTCAGTGTTGTTTTGAACTGGTCAAATTAAAAACCTTGTTTTACTCAGGAAGGACAGAACATGACCACAATCCCGTGCGTCTTCCTGCCTTGGATCCAGCTCTTCTTGCTTCAGTGGCCGTCCGCTCAGCTCAGCTCAGCTTACCTTTTCCTGTTTCTGAAGGTGTGGGAAAAGACAGATGAAGCAGTGCTTGTTTTTCCTGTCCTTGATCTGCCGCAACATCAAATGCTTCCCGTTTTTCCAACCCTTAATGTACCCCTACACGGCACCACATCAGGAGTTGCCTAGTCCTTATGCAACACCGGTGCTGCTATGTCAGCACCTGCCCCTGTCTTGTTTGTATGCCCTGCCTCTGAAGCTTCTGACAAAGCATGGTTTGCTTTGTTTTCTGCTTTTTCTCCACCCCACACCCGCTTGGAGTGCTCTGTTGGTTCGTCAGCGAGCAGTCCTGGCCAGCGGTTTTTGGTGTTGCGTGCGATCAGTCTCTCCCACTTGGCAAAGGCGTTGAGTATATGGGTTGTGACCATTGTTTGTGTGGTCTGAAACCTCACTCTCACTCACTGGAAGAGAGGGTCTGTTTGAGACAGGCAAACCCTCGGAGCTGTGAACTTGCGAGCACGAGTAACTGGCAGGAGGCTTGGGCCGAACCACAGAACTAGGGTGTCCAACGATCCTCTACTTGCGCACCTTGGTGGATCTGTTTTCGCATAGGAGTCTACCAGCAAGCACTTCACACATTTAGGGGGGCTTTTGGGGCACTTCTTCGCTTCTTCACACAAAGCCTTTCCGATGACCTCATCAGTCAGCATCCTAGAATCGTTCCCAATCACGCAGTCATTTCTCTTCTTCCTTTCTCCTATGCTGTGCTTTCTGGATTCCCAGAAACCCCTGCAGCAACCTCATCCCATTCGGGGAACTTGTGGCTGTATTCGCTCGGGCCGCTCTTGATGTGGTAAACCGAGGATCCTACTCTCAGGAACAACCATCTTCTCTGTCCAAGTGATTTATTACATCCGCGTGCAAGGCCTCTCACTGTATCTGCGCTCACCGTGGCCAGGCTGTCTTCGCGGCTTTGCGAGAGGCCAGATTAAAGAGCAAGCAAGCCTCTTTTCCCAGGAAGGGAAGCCTGCGAGGCACTGACAGTTCCCATCTTCTCTTGGATAACGGTCGAAGCCAGGATTTATGACATACAAGAAGGACATGCCCTTTTGGCAAAGGCCGTCATCTTCGTAATACCCCTGTGCGTTGCTTCTACATTGAATTTTTGTCATTGGGTCTAGTGTTGGGGGTTGGGAACAGTTCCTGTAGAGCTCCTGTAGAGTTTTTTCGGAATTTTCTCCCCAATTTAGTCAGATCCAATTCCACCCACTAGTTAGGACTCTAGGCACTAGCACAGGCTTCCTCCGAGACCTGTGTAACCAGCTACCGCGTCTTTTCAAACTGCCGCTCACGCGTCGTCATTGGACAGCTGAACGTGCTCAGAGAAAAGCCACCAGATCTGTTACGTCAGTCTACAGACGCCGAGTGCTGACTAGTGATGAGGCTGAGAGGGGGGCCATCCTGCCCACCCAGAGAGCGAGGCCAACTGTGCTCTCTTAGACTCCTGGTCAGGGACTGCTCTAGCATCACCAGTGATCAAACTCACGATCTCCCGGTAATGGGGCCACCGCTGGTTCCTGTAGAGCTTTCACACTGATTTCCCCCACTCTCTACCTCCCACCTCAATATGTACAGATCACTCAATGAGTTACTAATCTCTTTGCAAGCTCACCTCGTACTTTCAGCTCATATTTTTAGATTCCGTTAGCATTTGAAATCATTTAATTGTAAGGGGGCTGTGATTGAACAGATCTCTGAACATTGCATCCGCAATGAGGGGAGCATCAGAGCTTTGGACGTCTATTTTTAGACCTGAACACGTCAGCCCCTTCTTTTCGAGTGCGTAATTGGGTGCCTATTAGTATCATTCTGTGTTTGATTAGGAGCCTGTTTCTGACAGCGCGGTTCCTTTTTTAGCCTCCGTCTCATTTGATTTGTTTTTGCTTTCAGGCTTCCTGTGTGTTTGAGAACAGAAATGGAATTCGAGCACCTAAGGACAAGGATGGCATAATATCCCAGTTCTGGCTTCTTTTATTTCCTGCGTCTGGCTTGTGGCCCACTTCCTGTGTGACCATGACCTCTTGTCTTTGCACCACTAGTTGTTTTGAAATTTTCAGTGAGGTCATACCATGCCTATTGTACCCAAAACTAGCTTTTATTTCTGGTCTGTGCTCACTTGGTGGGAGTTGACGTCCAGGCCCTTCATGTGTTTGTGTAGATTCTTTCTGTAGTTTCCAGTTCATTAAGTTTAACCTCTAAGCTTCATGAACATTTTATCTGAATGTGAAGTTTTTTTTTAGCCTTAAAAATGTCAGTTTCAAAACTGCCAGCCTCCCATTTAAGTGATTCATGTCTTAAGATAGCATACATAGTAAATGCTTACCGAAAGGGTTTTTTTTTAAGCTGAAAGAATTTTAGATTTCCTCATCACTTCTCCCACTGCATGCACTCTTCCAAATCAATGTTTAATGTCATAAATACACTTAGGAGGACGCTAAGACGATATATTGTCTTAGGCTGATAGCTTGGCAGTTTGAAAGTACATATTTCTGGAAGCTGGAGCTTAGCACTCATGCCCCATTAACCTCCATTTCCCAATAAAGTTATAGAATGGGGCCACTGATTGCTGTAGAAATGTAAAGTGACTCGTTGGATTCATTGGTCTTCATTCATAAAAGTTGCATACAGTTAAATCTGATCATAAAATTAACAGATTTCAGTGACAGTTTTGTTGTTCATCAGTTTCATTTTTGGTGTATCTGTACAAGGGTCATTATACAGAAACGTCCATTTTTGTGTCCTTAGCGTTTACAGATATATTACACTTAAAAAAAAAAACATTAGGGATACAATTTATTTATATTTTAAAAATAAAACAATGTTATTTTAACAGTTACACCTTCTTGAGCCGTCAATTCAGCAATACTGGTTTTTAAATCAATCATATAGAATTCCAAGCACCACAGAAGAGCTCGTCCTCACAGTCATGTGTGAAGGCTGAGGCCATATTTTTGCCATGTTTTTTTTTTTGCAATTTTAACTGCAATAATCTATACATGACTATGGAATATATTAATTAAATGACAAAGAAAACAAATGCCAAATAAATATTATAAAATATGTAACGAAAGTCGTGGTCCCCAGGAGTCGTGTCACTGGTGTTACTACGTAACAGAAAATCTCTTATTTTGAAATAAAAGTCACACTGATGACATCACTCGACTTCCTTTTACCTGTTTTCTGAGGATCTATGAAGAAAAGCACATGATGAGTCCACTGTGTCTTTCAGTTATCAGAGATTTTCTCATTCAGCTCATGGTTTCATATGAAGCTTTTAGCTGACGTCACTGGTGTGACTGACTTTATTCTCAGGTAATTGTGAAAAAATAGAATACAAATCCATATTTTAGTGGATATTCCATGATTGACAACATGTGGTTTGATGCTCTGTAGCAGCCATTTTGTAAAATGCGTTTTTCATTAAAAATGTCTCTGGTGTTACCAGTGACTCCTATGGAGAGATAGAAAAGTGGACATTTCTGTAGAATGACCAATCAAACTCATGTCTGGTAGGACTGTGTGTACAATTTTGTGTAATATGTAACAATTTTGAAAAAAAAGGCTTGATTTGCGGTTGACTAACCGGAACTGTTATCAGTATCATATTTAATACCCATAATAAGAATAAAAATAGAAAATAGCAGTATTATTAATAGTACAAAAGTGGATGTACTTATTTTACATACATGTTAGTATAAACAAATGCTTAAATTATTCAATTTTCCATTTGGAGACATATTATACTGTGCTTTTGTTTTTATACCACTGACACAACCAAAAAAAAAAATAAATAAAAACTCAAAACGAAGCTACTATGGAAGCATCTCATACACTAAAATAATACAGGATTTAAATATGTTATATAAATATATTATTTTATTTTGGAATAATTATACCACACAATAACATCATTCTACATGAAGAGGTTTTGTTTATTTCACGTTTTATTTTTGCAGTGGTCATAATTGTAGCACTATAAAGTTTGGTCAGTAAGGTGAGCACTCAACCTCCACCTATGGGCACAATCATTGGTTCACGAGCCACTGAATAGTGTAATTTTATTGGCTACCTACTGAAACATCTGCTTAATGTAAATGATTTGCAAATTACTTACTGGTCAGTTGGCACTTGATTTCACGCGCTGAAGCTGATTCAGATCTCTGCTTCTACATCCTAATTAAGTTTCATGGATCAGATGCAGAGTAGTTTGGACGTTATCAAAGGTCTATGCTCTTTTTTACGCAACTTTGATGACTAAGGGCCAATGTGAGCTTTCCAATATGGTGGAAAAAAAACATTCAAAGGAAATGTCAGCCTGTTAAACTGAAGTCTGTGTGGTTTTCCTTCCCGCAGGGTTTGGGACCTGGAAGGCAATGAAACTGTCTCGTTTCGACTGTGGTCTCCAGGTGTCAGTGTATGCTGGCACCCAGAGGAGGTCTTTAAGGTGAGTTACAGTTAGAAATAGGTATAGAAATTCAGTGTTGAGTACACTGATACAGAGTATCTAAAAATTCAGTGCCGTTTGATAGTAGGGCTGAAAGATTGATTAAAGATGAATTAAAAAATATAATTTTTATATTAAAATTACAATTTAAGAAAGTGCAGTTTTCAGATGGCAAGAGATTAAATTTCTTTTTAAAATTATAGCCTATACTCTTAAAACATTGTTCTTCAAGGTTTGTAATTCTTCATGGTTGTTTACTAAAGATAATCATTCTATATAGAGCCATGAACACTCAAAGAACCATTTCGTGCTTAAAGGGTTCTTTGCATTGAGAAATGGTTCTTTAGATTGATGGAGAAGGTGTTGTGTATGGTTCCATATGGCACCTTTTTGAAATGGGTTTCATATGGTACCAGAAAGGTTCTGCTATTGTTACGATATCAAGCTTGTAACAGTAGAAGAACCTTTTAGGTGTTAAATGGAACCCATTTCAAAAAGGTGCTATATAGAACCATGTACAACACCTTCTCCATCAATCTAAAGAACCATTTCTCCATGCAGAGAAACCTTTAAGTATGCAAATGGGTCTTTGGTTGTTCATGGTTCTATATAGAACCTCTGTCTTTACTGAAGAACTCGTAAGTTAGACCAGGGCTCGCAACCCAAATGTTAAGAAGGGCCATTTTGTCCTTTCAACAAGAATCAAACCACCTTGGGAGCCACAGCGTTTTATCCGCATTTTACCATCTTGGCTGTAAATGTGTCTCAAGATGTTCTAATGTTCTAGTATAGACTAAAAAATATTAATGAAAACACACTTTGACTCACTTTGCTCTGCTTTAAGCTTTAGCTCAGCTATAGCTGCTTTTCTCGCATCTCTGGCAGGAAACTGTTCCTCAAAAGTAGAACCGTTTCTTGTAAAATGTGTCTCAACGCTCAACTTCTTACGGGGCTGAAGTCGCTTCTCATTCTCCAGCTTCTTGTTCGAATTTTCCCGCTCCACCTTAAATGGTGCCTGAGGCGCCAGAATGTAACTGCTGCACCGTTTAAGGTGGAATGGCAAAATTCGAACAGGAAACTGACTTCAGCTTCGCAACTTTTTAGTGTTTGACAGTTTCTCGTTGCACGTTAATCGTATCACGAAACCAGCTGGAGTGATTAGAAATGCAAATGCAGTTTACAGTCAGTTTGGCGCATTATGTTCAGGGGTCAAGCCTCAAGCCAGAAAAGATGGTTATTCTGGTCTTCTTGGCCAAAAAATCATGCCTGAACCTCAACTTATAAAAAAAGTATGCCAGTTTAAATTGCAGTCACAATATTAGTTGGAAAAATCGCAGTTCGATATTTTCCCCAAATCATTCAGCCCTACTTAATACCCTATTTGGTCGAAAAGAGTGCATGTGTTGTAGTTTATTTTAAATTAATATTTGACTTTTGAATCAAGATTTTTTGTTATAAAAAGAAGATATTGAAAAAAGGTAGCACAGGAATCACCAGCAAAGTCAAAAGATGAGTATTGGTATTTAAAATTTTTGAGTGTCATGTATTCTTGGTGCTCGCAAATTTATTAGCAAATGTTGCTCCTTAGCAGTGATACAAGCCTTTTGCTGCAACACATGAGCAAAGGTTAAAGTTAGAGTTTGGGAAGGAGTGCTGGTCCTAAATCAACATAAAAGGCTACTTTCATGTTAGAAAAGTGGATACTTTTTTTCAAATTCAAAGAGAATGATCAAAGCACGTTCTGCCTCGTCTTTCTGAAGAGGCAGTAATTAAGATGCATTGCCTTTACAGCTGCACTAATAAACGAACCTGTATAACAGTTTCATAACATGTTTTCCAAAATGCTAAGACATCTGAGCAAGTGCCCTTTGTTTCTTCCAGCTTATGGTGGCTGAGAAGAAAGGCACCATCCGTTTCTATGACCTGGTCTCCCAGCAGGCCATTCTGTCCCTGGACAGTGGACAGATGCCACTGATGTCTGCAGATTGGTGCCTCACCAACACCATTAAGGTGGGCGCCGTTGTAGGCAGTGACTGGGTGATCTGGGATATTACTCGCTCTAGGTAAGAACGCCCTTCGATTTGCTCTTTAAGGCTACGTTTACAGAGCAGGTAAAGACTCTGATTTTCTCACCAAATCCGATTATTTAATTGGCCTAAATCTGATCTTTTTTGTCATTTGACACAGATGTGTGTCTGTGTGTCAGTGTGAACAGCAAAAACGCATTTAATCTGACATTTTCAATTCCGATTTGAGGTGCTTTCATATATGGAACTGAAATCCGATACGTATCCGACATGCAGCAATGGGACTCAGTCTGAACAGTCAGATCGGAAGTCATGCGACCTTTACCTCAATCCATCTTGATATTCGTCAATGTATAAAAAATTAGAATGCACTTTTCGCTCCGTGTTCAAAGTAGTAGAACGAGGCTGCAGCGTCAAGGAAAAGTCTGAAAGCAAAGTTTAAAGAATCCGAGGATGCAAACCAAAGAAGTGACTGTGTCTGAATAATGTGCACCTGAGGGCCAGTGGCGCAATGGATACGGATCCGAAGATTCTTTCAGTTTTTAAACACTGTGTCCACTCACTGTCCACTCTAATAGACACACCTGCGTTGTTGGTCCGCCCTGTACCTGTAAAGTCAGAGACGATAGCTCATCTCTTGCTGTACAGTATAATCTAATCATCCTCTAGTCCTTCATCAGTGGTCACAGGACGCTGCCCACAGGACACTGTTGGCTGGATATTTTTGGTTGGTGGACTATTCTCAGTCCAGCAGTGACACTGAGGTGTTTAAAAACTCCAGCAGCACTGCTGTGTCAGATCCACTCAGACTAGCACAACACACACTAACACACCACCACCACGTCAGTGTTACTGCAGTGCTGAGAATGATCCACCACCCAAACAGTACCTGCTCTTTGAGGGTCCATGGGGGTCCTGACCACTGAAGAACAGGGTAAAAGGGGGCTAACAAAGTATGCAGAGAAACAGATGGACTACAGTCTGTAACTGTAGAACTACAAAGTGCACCTATACAGTAAGTGGAGCTGATAAAATGGACAATGAGGTGGTCATAATGTTATGCCTGATCGGTGTAAGTAGGAAGATAGAGCGCCAGTCGGCCGATTTGGCCACATTTACTTCAATAGTTGCGTATAATGAATGTGTACTTATTCATATGGCAATTAATTTTCAGCTAAAATATCATGATCATAAAAATTTTTTTTATGAACACATCATAGTTGTATCTCCTAAATAGTGCCTTTAAAAAGAGAAGGAACAACCTTAACTTTTAATGCAAGTTAAGCAGATACTCCAGTGATTTTTCTAACATTTCTGCAAAACGTCATTTACATTAAATAATGTAAAATGAGTGAAATGCTCTGTTCTAGAAAAACTTACTGAGTCAGAGTTGGTGATAAGCACTCTGTAACAACTCAACAACCTACCTCACAGAGAATTATTAAATGAAATGGTCATGAATGTGCTGCCCGATGTCTGAGTCGTTGTTTCATGGTAGTTTTGTGATAAGCGTTCAGTCTAAAACATTTTTTTCCGATCAGGAGAGTTCAATTAAGAAGGTGCTGTTTGAAGTTTCGACCTTTATAGATAACTTCTGCTTTGTTACGACAGTGTTTTTGTATCAAAGTGTAAGAGTAAATAAATATGATACATTATACAGGGAGATTCACTTGAAAGAGGCCCTGAATATTCTGTAATAACTCTCTCTAGGACGAAGCAATCTGAACGAAACAACGTGCAATGTGCTCCTCAGTATATGGAGCTTCGAACAAGCCGGGATGCCCCTGCGTCGGAGCGATGAGGTAGGCGCCAGACAGCCGTCGTGACGTTTAACCTCTCTAATGCTTGTTGATACATTCAGGAACATGGAGCGCCGCGTCGTAATGTGTCTGGCAGAAAACGGAGATCACTTCCATCACCGCATGCAATACAATCGATTACGCATACGTTAAGTTATGTAGAGTATTTTTTTTGGTTCAGATTGCTTCATCCTAACAGGAGTTACAACAGAAAATTCGGGGCCTCTTTCGAGTGAATCTCCCTGTAGTAGCAACAGTGCCAAATATAAAAATGGTAAAAAGTATTTTAAATATAAAAGTCTTAAAGATTTTTAATGTGTACTTATACAGTTTTAACTCAGTCTGCAGCTAAAGAAAACAAACATTTTGTTAGTTAATATAAACATGTACATAAAACTAACAACTGTGGGGGAAAAAGTTGTAAACAGTTCTCATTATTCCAGAGCCTGTGTAGGTCAGAGTGAAAGAGAATGTGGGTGAACGTCCAGTAAAAGTTTTCTGTTTTGCCGTTAGTTATCCTCAGGAGAAGAGGCCGGCTCACTTGGACAAGGCGCGGCTCTTCAGGTAAACACAACCCTTTTGTTCCATTCATTCCTGTCCTAATATGCGAGGATCAAAGGCGATTACTGCTGTTTTTATTCTCTCAGGTGGTCGAGAGCAAATGAAAATCTCTTCTCCACTACTGGCTGCCCAGGAAAGGTCAACAGTCAGTTACTGGTGCATCACCTCGGTCACCCTCAGGTGAGTGAAGAGTTGAGATTGCGTGCACACGCACGTCATCAGTGTTTGCCGGAGAGTTTCGGTGCTAACTCGTGCCCCGTTTCATACGATCTCATTGCAGCCTGTGATGATTGGCTCGTCCTCCGTGGGGGCAGGTCTTAGCTGGCACAGGAACCTCCCTCTGTGTGTGATTGGCGGAGACCGAAAGCTCTCCTTCTGGATGACGGAGATGTGAACTGGTATCTCCTTCTGAGGAATGTATCTATTTTTGTAGCTCTTTTTCTTCAATAAAGTCTGCTTTTTTTCCATGCGCTGTCATTGTGTTGTGGCTAACCGGCGTGTTTTCGTGTACCAGCCTCTCTGTGTCAGAACCCAGTAGTGGAAACAAATTTCCTGTGAAGCACTCGTTCTTTTTTTGCGTATGTGCGCGTGCTTGTACGTGTCTTGTTTTTTTCTCTTTCTGTGAAGAGCTGTATCTGTGCTGTACTCTGATGTGTCCTGCCAAGCCAGCACAGGGGTGAGCCACAGGTCACCGAACGGCAGGAGGTGCTTGGTGCCAGTAGGCTGTTCAGAAGAGGGAGGAACAAAACAACCTGCTCTACAGGTGCTCCGCCTCACACAGGCACACCGCATAGGTCAGGATTAGTCCCTACCAATGGCCAATGCACATGCTCTAGTGGACAGTGAAGGATCTGGGTGACTTCTGCCAACCTGTAATGAATTTGAACTAACTCCTGCTGACCCTGAAATCTTGTAAGAGGTAATAGAATCGCAGGTCTTTGTAGAAGAGTAATAGGAACAGAAGGGAAAACAGGATGTTCTTCTACATCTGTTTTCTATTTTCCACTTCTACTATTACTTCTTCTGATGGAAAAGCGAAGGCCACCTTAGGTCAGATACTTCTGACCTAGTTTGAGTGTAGTATTTTGCCCCTTTAAAGGGGAAGTCCACCATGTTTTCAAATTTTTGCATAAGAAGAATGTTTACATGTAAACAGTGTTATTCAGAGTGATGTGAAATAGTTCATTGTAGAGAAACTTACCAACTCTTTACTGTGGTGGTGATGGGAGCCAGGGGGCAGAATGTTTGAAAAGTCAGTGGAAATTCCCCTTTAATACTGGATATAGTGGTTTGGCAGAAAATAAGAAGTGACCTGGGTACTTGCTTGAAGTTTTTGATTGAAACATGAAATTATATAACTATATACACCGATCAGGCATAACTTTATGACCACCTCCTTGTTGCTACGCTCATTGTCCATTTTATCAGCTCCACTTACTATATAGGTGCACGTTGTAGTTCTGCAGTTACAGACTGTAGTCCATCTGTTTCTCTGCATACTTTGTTAGCCCCCTTTTACCCTGTTCTTCAGTGGTCAGGACCCCCATGGACCCTCACAGAGCAGGTACTATTTGGGTGGTGGATTATTCTCAGCACTGCAGTAACACTGACGTGGTGGTGGTGTGTTAGTGTGTGTTGTGCTGGTCTGAGTGGATCAGACACAGCACTGCTGCTGGAGTTTTTAAACACTGTCTACTCACTGTCCACTCTATTAGACACTCCTACTGTGTCAGTCCATCCCTGTTTGGTTGGTGGACTATGCTCAGTCCAGCAGTGACACTGAAGTGTTTAAAAACTCTGGCAGCACTGCTGTGTCTGATCCACTCATACCAGCGCAACACACACTAACACATCACCGCCACGTCATTGTTACTGCAGTGCTGTGACACTGTACCTGCTCTGTGAGGGTCCATGGGGTGGGATGCATGTAAGTACAAGAAGGCAACTCATTTTCTGAGACACGTTATAAAAGCAACAAACTTCTGATTGGTGCTATAACACCTTTAGATGGCAGCATTGAGTACTGTTTGTTTACTTGAATGCTGCCACTAAGTATCGACAGTAAACGCTAATTAACCAATTTGGCCGTTTTAAGCCTGTACTTTAATAGTTGCACACAATGAATGAAAAATGACAAATTATCACAGTTATTCATATGGCAGTTAAATAAAATGTCATGATCTTAATTGCCCTACTTATGGGATCTAAATCTGGTACCTTCAAAACACGAGAAGGATAAAACTTTCTAAACTCTGAATGGAAGTGAACTTTGAATGGAATGGAAAATTCCACCTTTTTGTTTTTTGGAAAAAAAAAAAGTCTGCAAAATTAAATGTTCAAGGTTTAAAAAGTCACTCAGAGTGGTTTGTTGTGAAATGCTCTTTTCTAGAGAAACTTACCGCTCACAGTGGAGGTGATAGGAACCAGACATCTGAAGACTTTAATGCCTTTAACAATTCCCTCATGGACAGTTATTGCAGTAAATTCTCATGAATATCCTGCCTGATGTCTGAGACATAATTTTATGATAGTGTTTTGATAAGCTTTTTGGCCTAAAGCGCATTTTTTCAGATCCATTTACTGTGGAGAGTTACAAGGCGTTGTAAGTCAAAATAGTCCCCACAGAAAACTTACTTTTCTGGATTTATGTCTATTTTACCATCATCAACATGTATAAAAACTCACCGGTGATTTTTGATAGTAAATAAAGTAGCTATATTTGTGTTGTGACCCCTGGTTCCTATCACCACCACTGTAAAGAAATCTGAGCGTGCAAGTTTCTCTTCAATGAGCCATTTCACATCAAATCACTCCAAACGACTTTGTTTACATCGCAGTGATTGAATTATGTATAAAATTTGAAAAATCTATGGAATTCTCTTTTAATGGATCAAGAATTTTAGTCGAGCGTTTCTGTTGGTCATGAAATTTTAACACACTGTAAAGGGCAGCAGGAATTTTCAAATTATATAACGAACATGAGTTAGTCATTTTCTATTGTCTTCACAATCTTTACGACCTTTTCGTGAATCAGCACTGCACGTGTTCAGGTCGTAACAATGGGGCGTATTGTGCTCCTTTAATGCATAAATGTATGTGGGTGTTGCTGTGTGACTGAGATGGCTGGGTACAAAGAGGGTGAGGGGGGAAAAGGGACCTCTACTCTTTCAAGCTTTTTAGACAGCCCTCTATGTTTCTTGGAGCGCAGGAGCAAACCGCCATCCACAAGCATAACATGCTACCGCTCTCTGGTCCTCTGGCTTTGTTTGAACAAGTCCGATGTGGTGTGAAGAGAGCGTTTTGGAGCGCTGGACCCAGCCGAGGCTGGAACAGCTGTGCCTGAGAACTCGACGTCAGACGCTGCCACATCTCTCCACATGCTCTTACACACACACACACACACACACACACACACTCGGAACGTTCTTCCAAAGGACATAATAACTTTCAGAGCGAGAAACTGCAGCAGTGGAGGAGCCAGGAGGTTTTCTCACAGTAACGTGAAACCCTGCCTGTGATCAATATTGAGGCCTGGGATGATTTTTATCAAAGGTTGCCATCTGGTGGCTGCTTACGAGTCAGTCAGGTGAAGATACCTGGCCTGATTTTCAGGACAACCTCGTTGAGTTTAGCCTCTTTCAGCAGGCCATCTAGTGACCGTTCTGCTGACGGAATGGAAATTGACCCAGATATTTTTGATTAATGTAATAAAATATTTCTCCGTAACTCAGATGAACTAGATATACCCCGATATCAGATGAACTAGGACTCTGCTTTCTCTCTGTGTGCGAAATGTGACTCTGTGTTGAGCTGCTAGCAAGCAATGAGGGGTGAAAGGGGAGAGGTGAGAACCCCCTGCTGTAAAAACAGTTCACATCTCTCCACAAAGCTGCAGCTTTTTTCATATCTGTTCTGAACACCCGACACAATAGATAACATTAAAACATGAACAAAACACTTTTAGAAACATTTGACTCTTGTACAAAGACATACGTTTTTTCTGGATCATAAGGATTTCCATCTAAATGTAGTTATTGAAAGGAAAGATGCATAGTTCAACTAAGGGGACCTCCAAAACAAGTGGAAATTGCTTTTCGTGGCTTCTGCCAAAAGGGGTTAAGGACATTGGTTTAAGGCAGTTGTCGGCAACGTGTGACTCCAGAGCCCCATGCGGCTCTTTTACTGCCCTGTTGTGGCTCCACAGCAGAATCAGATTTGTAGGTAAAAATAAAATAATCCTCCTTTACAGTAAAATAAAGCTCTGCTGATCGTTCAACACAGTTTAACAATAAATGGTCTTAAACTCTGGAGTTAATGTAGAGCTGCTAATTCACCCTTTAACCCTGAAGATCATGGCAGACTGCTGGTCACCATAGCAACACGGACAACAGTCTCGCCTAGCTAGTAGCCAACAAAACGGCAAAGAGAGATTTAAGATGAACATCGATGATTTAGTTGACTTTATTTGTGTTTATAATAGCTCCAGCTGGTTTCCTGATTTGTTTAATCTGCAATGAGAAACTGACAAACACTAAAAAGTCATGAAGCTGAAGTCAGTTTCTCATTCAGCAGCTTGTTCGAATTTTCCCGTTCCAATTTAATGGTGCAGCAGTTACATTCTGGCGCCTCAGACACCGTTTAAGGTGGAACGGAAAAATTCAAACAAGAAGCTGGCGAATTAGAAGCCTCGTAAAAAGTCAAACGTTGAGAACTGTTCTACTTTTGTGGAAAAGTTTCCTGCTGGAGATGCGAGAAAAGCAGCTGTAGCTGAGCTAAAACTTAAAGTAAAGCAAAGTAAGTCTGAGTTTTCATTTATATTTTTTTAGTTTTTACTAGCACATCAACACATACTGAGACACATTTATAGCTAAGATGGTAAAATGGACATAAAATGTTGTGGCTCTCAAGGTGGTTTGATTTTTGCTGAAAGGACAAAATGGCCCTTCCCAACATTTGGCTTGTGACCCCTGGTTTAAGGTGTTGGTACCTCAGAAGAATGCTTTCAACCATTGATGTAAAGCTGGTGTAAAGCTTCGTATCCACAGCTGTGGCCAACAAAACAGACACTCCTGAAGTTCAAAAGTCGCTGTGGACCTTGTTCTCAGTCTCAGTAGCTTAAAAATATTAATAAACCGAGAGGATCAAAGGCGCTCCGGCTCAGTTTGAACCTTGGAAGAGCACAGCAGGCCTAATCCTACATGCCACGTAAGATATGGGTGCACACCCTCAAGAACAGAAGAAAGCTGAATTAGGACTAGCACAATACTGTGGAGTCCAGAGGATTAGCCTCCTTTTCATGAGGGGCTCTTCTGCATTAGTTTCAACCTTTTGAGGAGTAAGACCGGGATTAGATGAAGCAGTTCTTGACAGTAGACCTACAGTGTCAGCTAGACCTCACCGCCCATATTCAACTGCAGTGGTTAGAGGACAATGCAAGATAACACGGCTCGCTTTCCGGACATCCCTG